TGCTGCCATCATAGTAATGCTAATTCGTAATGTGAGATAGGTTGTGAGTGTGAATATGAATGTTTCATTTTTATCAGAATACCCACGCGATTCATTATATTCTACATTCTTTTATATTGAGTTAAGAACATTCTTTTTAAACATGAAGCCCAAAAGCAAGCATTTTGTTTTAAATATTTTTTACTTGCCAATTGTTGCACTGTATTGCTAAACAGCTCGATTTTATTTATTTGTATTAATTTATGAACTAAAGACTTGATATGCTATTTTTGGTGCTTCGTTAAAGTTTGAGAAGTACTATTGCATAAAACGATAGATTACATATGTATTTTTTTATTCAAATTGCTAGATTATGAAACAGAATGTATTCGTGTAGGTCTGCCTGGCTTCGTGCTGTGGAGATAAAAATGATGATGTGAGTGTGTTTGTGTGGATATGCGTGAACATGTGTCTTTTTCTATCATTCTTGTCTTTTATTTTATTTTATTTTTTTGTTTGTTATAAATGAGTGCAGCATCTATTATATTCATTCTCAATGTAAAAGAATATTTTTCATTACGTTTATGAAACGAACGAGAACATACTCTCTAATTTCAAAATCAATTTTTTAATCCACGAGAGAAAACATTAGACAATGTAGAAAAGGATAAGAAACATGTTGCTTTCTTTCGAAAAATGATGTTGAATGATCTAAAATGCTTCTATCATTTGGAGCAATCCATTTTTAAGTATTTCTCTAGAGAACATCAAGGAAAACAATTTGTTTTAATGAAATCCTATCTTTACTTTTCTCCTAAGAAAAAGAATGTATTAAGAATCATTTCGTGAGTTAACGGAATTCTTTGGAAAGTTTTCCTTAGAATGGAAAACGATTTTCGAAAGAGCAGAAAGCATTCGATGATGACATAAAATGGCATTGAATGCAATCTTTCAGCTACAGAATGTTTTCGTACTAGTTTTGAATCCATTCACTAAGCTATAGACCGAGTTATTTATGGACAAAATATCTCTCAATGTTTGGATGAATTCGTTCACTTTTTCAGTTTTTTCCTTAAACATGTTTCAGAGGATATTAAGAAAATATTTTGATCGTAGATATGTTTGAAAAATTTATGAAATTCAGTTTTCATTCTTTGTTAATTAGGTTTTGGGAAAAATAAAAGTCCCTTATTCATTTGCTCCTGACAAATCAGTATATTGTCATTCTCTTATTATTGACTTTAATGCTGAATTAATATTTAGCTACCATATTTTTATTATGCTAATAAGATAAATAAATCTGTTAAAATACTTTTAATATATTTTTCAATTGAGTATATTCTTATTATTAATGCAAACTAAATATGGTTTGTTTCGAATGATAGCTTAAATGTTAGTTAGGGTATTCCAAAAGTTCAGTCGACAAACAAACGTAAATATGTTTTTAACCATTCAAGTGATTCATGTGAGGTTTTGATAGTTTCATTTCATATTCATTGAAATTTTACTTCGCATATATGTATCTTTAATAAATATAGAAAATGATTCTCTATGCGTGAAAAGAATTTAAGAGTTGGGTGTGGGTATCGTTCTCTCTATCTTCGCACATGTATTCACTGCCTCACTTTGTCAAAATATACTTCACAGTTCAATTTCCTAGAATCCAAAGAATCAAAACAAAGATGCTAGAAAAATCCTTATGGATATTTATCATGTGAGTAATGATAAAGGAATAACGCAAAGGGAATAATAAAAGTCTTTTCATTTTAATAGTCATCATGACATCCCACAATCAACTGACCCCACGTTTACGAACTCACGTCTTCAATCACTATAGTTAGTAAGATGGGGGTTTTTTGAAACAATTCGTTGGAGTTTTTCTGTCTTTACACTGACAGTATAAAAAGTTCTCCATGAGTTTCCTCTCCAAATTTCAGTTCGTTATACAACCCGTTATGAAACGTCTTCAGATATCCATATATAGAACTATTCATTGCATTATATAACGTAAGATTCAATTATTCGCGGTCTTTTTGATTGAAGAGTGTTATCAACAAAATACAAATGTTCACTTTGAAACTGATATACAACATAATGTATTCATTCAGTAAATTTTACGTTTAAAATTGACTACGTAGATTGAAACTTTTGCTGACAAATTTTCAGGATTGTCTTGAAAATTTGTCTTTATTTCATTCAAATCATTCTTATATTTGCATGACTGCTGTTTGTTTCATCTGTTATCATCTATATATTTTCATAAAATGAAATTCTCAATGGAAAGTGAAATTCTAGACGTTCAAAAAGCCTCAATCATTGCAATTATTATCAAGAAAATAAATAGAAAAATGAAAAAAAAAAACAGCTCAAGAAAAAAGTTCGTTGATGCTCAACAGAATAGATCCTCGACAAATCTGGAAAAGTAATGTCTAGATACAATAAATGGAAAATCATTGAATAAAAAAAAGAGCTATAAAATATCGGCGATCGATCACGACTCAGTCGATATTCTTTGGACCAATGTGACAAGAGCCAGCCGAAAGTTTACCGGCCACAGTCTACAAAACTTTGACAACTGCTAAGATTTAGAAGCAGAAACAAGATGTACACGTTCACCCACCAGCGGTGGTCAATCCTCTCTGAGAACGAGGCAAATCGATCACCGCGGATCTAGAGATTGCATTCTAGTTTTCATCATGTTGTAACCATTTCCTGATATTTTTCTTCTGGAACCGATCGATTCATTTCTATTTATGTAAGTATGGCATAATGGTTACGATTTCGAATGGGTTCCCATAATAAATGGCCGACATCTATTTTCTGTTGTTGTGACATTTAATACTTGCTCACGTTATGTTTCTAATCTCTTTCGAGTACAGAATTTAATTCTCAGTAGAACATCAATTTTATACATTTAATAGACTTTTTGTGCTATGGCAAACTTCATGAGATGAAAAAGCATTGGATTTTCAACTTGCAGATCCTGTTTTTATTTTCTTCAGAGGAGAAGAATTTGTTAGAAAATTAGTTCATCAAGATCAGTGTTAAAAGTTTAAAATTGTACTCCAAACGAGAGAATTTTTCGCTCTATACGCTCACTACCTTAGCTTGGTTGCGACTGTTTTCGTTCAAGAGAATAAAACTTCTAAACTAATCTCTAATGCTATTTCTGAATGCATTATAGAAATCTATGTTTTTACAAGCCAGACTTGGATGTGAGTGCGGACGTCTGTACAAGACCTTTATCGAACCCATATCCTCATTTTGTCAAACGCTTTCGTCTGATATTTTACCGTTTCTAGTTCGAAACTTTTCCTTCTCAATATTTGTTCTAAAACTTTGAAAATTACATTGAAAGATACAGAATTTTGAATAGAATATAGTAGCGTATTTCGAATTGCATCAAGTACCTTTCTCAAAATTCTTTATAATTTTTGACTTGCGCAGTTCTATGAATGAGTAAGTGTTGATCTTGTTAACTTTACTGTAACGCGAAAAATCAATTCGAAAGAAAAAGTCATAAGATTTTCAGAAAAATAAATTCTCTATTCAATGAGATCAAAATCGAAATTTAAAATATTTGTCGAATACTTCAAAGATCGAAAATAATAGTCAACTATTTATTATGAGGTTTCATTTATTTCAAGCGCATAATTTTCTCTCAAAAATATACATTTAAATGTTTTTCTTCTCGAACCGCTTCTGCGCGTTTGGCTTCTGAAAAACATTCAGACCTGTAACAGACCCAATAGAAATGCCAGTGAAAGTCAGGTTACGCATTGAATTAAGTAGAATATGTACTTTTATGCTTCAACTTTCACTAACGATAAGTATGAAGAAAATGCATTTTTATTATATACTACTGTCCGTCTGTGCATACTCTAGAGCTGACTGTCACTGTTCTTCACTTATATTCCTTGCAACAAATGATAGAGACGACCAACACTTATTTTATTTTTTTAAATTCCATCATATTTCAACTAGAACAAAGTCGCTTATATAATTTGCTTTTTCTGAAAGCCCATGTCGCACATTTACATGAACTACCGCCGGTATACCGCGGTACTTTAAGAAACCGCCGGTACACCGGCGGTATACCGACGGTTTTATTGAGTACCGCGGTATACCGGCGGTTTTATTAAGTACCGCGGTGTAACGGCGGTTTTATTAGGTACCGCGGTATACCGGCGGTCAAAACGCTACCAAAATACAAATGTATTTATCTATATAGATGACTATTTTTGTTTCTTTAATTTAGATAATTCTCAACATAATAATGAGGAGTAAGTATTTATTACAGAACTTTTAATATTTTTNATTTTCCAAGTAGTTTTTTGAATTTTTTGTTTCAAAAAGATGGCTGAAATTTTTTTTAATATGTACAGTTTTGTAGAGCTCGACGAGCTCTATCAAACCATGTAAAAATGTCCAAGAAAAAAATCTTACTCCATTTTTGAATTACTGTCGCCTTCATTTTCCACCCCAAAAAAAAAGCATCCAATTTCTGAGCATGTCTTAAGTTTGACATTAAAAGGCCTTCACAATCTTTACTATTTAGTACCAATAAACTCAGTTTTTAACGCGCTTTAATTTGGTATAAGATACATTTTTGATATCATTGATACTTTACGTTATAGAGAGGGAGGCAAAGGTTATGTGTCACCCTGTACATAGGATGATAACATGGGGAAAATCCATTGAACAACATAAAGGGAAGAAGAACCGAAGGCAAAGGAAAAAGTCCATCATATGTATATATATATATGTATGACAGGAAAGGAAAACTCCATAGAGCATGACTATCGGCAAAGAAAAGATGAACAACAGATGTGGACACGTATAACCATGTAGACAACGAGGGGAAAATCCCTATGACTGTATCTTTATTATTTCATGTGTTTTTTACTGACTGATCGCAAATAAGGCTTTCATTTAAAGTAAAATAATAACTTTGTTTAGAGTTCATATAATGAAAAATCTATTAGATCTTCAATTAAACTTTTTTGCTAAATCTTATTTAATTATTTGCTAAATTATTTTACAAAAATCGAATTGAATTTTATTCTAAAAATTTTGATCCTTGTTTTTTTTTTTTTTCTTATTCATTAAAATAAATACATACCCATGCCAAAAATCGATTGTATCATGTCGATCTTCATCAAATACTTTACAACCCACATGTTTTTCTAATTTTAATTCATCAAATATTTCTTGACCAGTTTGTCCATTTCCACAACAAATATCAAGATATTCATCATTTGTACCTGTATGATTAAATGATGATTTATATAAAATAATAACTTGTAAATGACAATCAAGTAATGCATCATAAATTTTTTGTTTTATTCTTGTACGTTGTTGATTATCACCATTCTCTTTTCCTATAGGCCTTGGTAATGGACAAATACCTAATGGACTCATAAAATCACCATAACAATCAATTTCACATTTTATATTATGTTCTTGACGATAAATTTCAGCTAAACGTTGAGCAACATTCATATTAAAATAAAATAAACTATCTGTATAAACAAATTCTTCTTCACCATGACACCATATAGCTTTATGAATTTTCATTTGTTCAATTGTTGGTTTTTGTAAAACACATATACATTTTCGTTTATCAGTTGGATCAAGTACAAAAACACCATGTTGTGTACCAATTGATAATGATGATGGATGTGCAAATGCAACAAAATCATCTGTTAATAACCAATTTGTATTTGCATGTGATTCATCGAATAATTCTATTGTATCTGACGAACATAGAAATACACCTCCATGAGGCATACGAGCAGGAAATAATGAATAAAGAGCTAATTTAATATCAAGTAAATCATATGTTGGCCAACCTGAAAGATAAAAATAAAAATCTTATTCGTAATGATTATAGACAGTTTTTTTTGTTTTGTTTTATATACAATAATAATCAAATCCTTTTTTTTTTTTCTTTTTATTCTGAAAGAAATCTATACAATGTTTGTTTAACAGATGTTCCATAGTGAATATGTGGTAATATGGCAAGTGGTATTTCTTCTTCTGATATTATATAATATCAAAAGATGGAATACATTTGTTTTGTTATAATGAAGAACATCAATTTTAATGTTAACGCATATTCACATATGGAGAATTTTGTTAAATGAAATATTGATTTATTCTTTGAAAAACTTATTCAAGAAGCAAAAAAAAATTTTTTTTTCTTTTCTTAATTAAAATATAAGATTTAAATTATAAATTTGAATTAGTTTTGTCAAATTTTTAATTTTCGAAATTCACCCTATGTGAGTTTTTTTTTTTGTTATTGAAATTTCGTAAGAGTACATTTTCAAAATATTGAATAAGACTAAATAAGTATAGAATTGCATAAGTCATCATTATAGGTTTAAATGCAAAAAGTTTTTTTCTTTTGTATTTTCAGTATTATCATCATCGTGACATAGCCTTTTTTATTTTACATTTATTCTGACATACATTATCAACAGGTAATCATGCATAAAACGAGTCTTTCTCTCTTTCTCTTTTTTTTCTGTTCAATCCTTAACAAATATTTATGTCATTTATGTTAGTTTAAGATTTATTGATAAGTTTTATCACACCTTTTGGAATACTTGTTGCAATTTTTCCAAGACAACTTGTTGTTGGTGTCCTTTGTGAATAACCACCAGCATGAATTAATAGAATACGTTTTTTTCGTAGAACTTCCCAACCATATTGCTGTTCAAGTATATGCATTGCATGCATTGTACTTCCGCCATTACCTAAAGAATAAAAGAAATATCATCATGAATTGATGACCTTGTCCTTGACGACGACGTTGCTTTTCTTATTCTCATTTTTTTTTTTACATAACTTCAGTCAGTTACGCAAACTACGACGTCGCCCATTCATTTACTAGCAGCAAGTGTTTGACTTTTTTTTTTCACATTGATTCTATTTCGTAACATGATTATAGTTTCTTGTTAATTACATAATCAAAGAACGATGGATCGCTCATATGAGTTACTTTCAAATCTGATGTCTATTGTAAAGATGTTAGTTGAGAATAGTTACATAAAATATGTTATGCCTAACTCAAGTTATCACTAGTCAAATGCTAATAATCGCCATATTATAGTCACTCTATGTGTGTTGTTACAACATTTCCCTTCCCTTGATTATGTAAAAAAAAGACGAGATGACGCATAGGAACAAGATGAATTTGTTTCTTTCAAATCCATTGAAAATGATCGAAGCGCATGTGTGTATGTGTCTCTATTATATCATCGTGCTATGCCGAGTTACTTAACATACTCATGTGTGAGTGTCTTCTTCTTCTTCTTCTTTGAAGAAACACAGTCACAATCTAGATGACATAATATCTCTTACCAATCTTGCCAGGATCAGTAATGACAAGATAGTCGACACCAAGTGGTATTCGATTAATTGTTGAACGTTGTTGTATTAAAGCATCATAAGCATCTTTCTGAACATTGTCCAACGTAGTGACAACGACAATATCCCAATAAATGACGTCATGTTCTAGATGACGTACATCCCAACCTAGAAAAAGAAAAAGAAAAAGAAAACAAATATACGAACAACAAAAAAATATGGATGATGAAATTACTATTTACAATTTCGAAAAAAAAAAAAACTCAGAAAATGTCCGATAAGAACATATAGAAAAATCCATAAAACAACATAAGACCTTCAACAATAAATCATCTCCTGTTAAAATACAGTTGATCGTCTACAAATCTTCTTTCTTTTCTTTATTTTTTTCTTTCTTAATTTTTGAGTGCACATGTATGTTCTTTTCTGTCTAAATTATTGTTATTTTTTTTTTCGTACCCAATAAAAAAAAAGGGATAACATGATGATGTTTTACATCGTCATCATTGTTACAATCATTAACTTTCGAGAAATGAGACAGAACGGATAAAAAGAAAAAAAGAAAGCATAGAAAGAATGAAAAAATGATGACGATAGTATTGCGTGTCAAGTTAGTGTTGGCGGTAGTGGTTTCTTTTTTCTTTGCTTTCTATATATCGCGAACGACGCTATTACTCTATATAAATTCATCCATTCTTTGGTTTGTCGACACACACATAGGTTACACGTTGCGAAATAAGAAAAAAATCCTAACGACATTGAGACAGACATTACATAGAAAATTATAAGCACCAAAGAATCATCCAACTTTCGCAAGATTTAGTAACCGAAGAACAAACAAACAAACAAACAAATTACACTTATATATATGATTAAATTTTTATATTAATGGCTTTTAATATATTTAAACATTCTATTGGCACTTCAAAATCTTCACAACATTCGACTTCATCTTCTGGTTTCTTGGCTACTGGATTTGCTAACATTGGCTCTTTTGTAAATACATATATCATTATTAATGGGTAGGATGATCATCTTATGTTCTATGTATGTCTGTCTATGCCCTCTTGCCCTCGTCCTTCTTTCTCCTTCTCTCATTAACATGAGTACGTCTAGTCTCGATAGAGTATGATATACATACAGACGCGAAGTAGGTTCTCTTTACTTCAATCGCCAATACACAAATGTTTGATGCCAATCAAACAAAGTGAAAGAGAAAAAAAGAAAGAAACGAGAAAGAAAAACGGAGAATAGAGAGAAACATCCTTCTCTCATCGTCATTCGCTGCGTACGAAGTGGAAGGTCACGAGCCCATATACACGCGCATACACACATGTGTATGAATTGAAAAACAAGCGAGGCAAAGCGTATTCACATACAATGTCAGATGAATATGAGTAACTGTTACACTTGAACGATAATAGGAGAAAGACGAAAGAAAAAAAAAAATGATTATTACTTGATATAAGCATAGAAAAATTATGATTCTTCAATGACAATTTTGAAATATCCTTGAAAAAGAAAAACCCAGAAGATTGAACAAAAGAAAGAATTTCTTTTTCATCAAAAAAGAAAAATTGCGTAAGTCGTCTTCTCTAATTCTAGTAAGCGATTGAGCAACCATGCGCCGGGCTTGGATATAACTTGCGCAACGATAGTTTGATTTCGCAACAACACCTTCTCTTCTCTCTGCGTTCTTTTCTCTTCTTCTTCTTCTTCTTCTCTACATGTATATGTATATATCTATTATAAACTTAGATAGAGAAGACTATTCATTATTCTAATCAGGTTATTTCTTTATTCTAGCAACATTACTACTAAAATTACATCAACACTAACGTCAGATATTATCGAACAATTTTAATTATTTTTCTTTCTCGTTTCTATATTATCTAAGTCGTAATTAATATTTATTTCCTCAATAAAATAATGTCTTCACAAACATCCCGTCATCAATCATCAGTTAAAGCTCATGATCTTCGTTTGTTAACACAAATTTCCACATCATCATCATCATCATCATCAAGTTCAAATCCTTTAACTCCAATTCCACAATTAAATGATCCATCAGGTCCTCTTACACCTGATTCTGTTGTATATGTTAATCCATTTACCTCAAATAATAATAATAATCTTTCAACATTTAATAATCAACCATTATTACCTACTATTCGTACAATTGGTCAATATGAATTAAGTGAAACAAAATTTGATGATTTTAAATGTGCACGTCATATATTAACAGATGAAGTTTATTTATATAAAGAATATCCTATTGAAAATCTTCGTCAACGTTTAGAACCATATCAACGTCTAACAAAATTATTACTTTCATCAAATATAAATAAACAATTAATTAAATCAATGTCAATTGAACAATTAGCTGCTAAATATCATTTACATTTTTTTCATGATGTTATATCACTTGAACGAACTGCTATTGTTTTATATTCAAATTATTCAAATAATTTACATACATATATTACAGAAAAACATCGTTTAAATGAACATGAATCAAGAAATTTATTTACACAAATTGTATCGGCTGTAAAAATGTGTCATCAAATTGGATTAATTATACGTGATTTAAAATTACGAAAAATAATATTTAATAATAATATACATTCACATTTACTTTTAACAGGACTTGATGAAGCTATTATGCTTACAAGTCCAACATCAACAAATGATTTTGTTTCTTCACGTTTTTCATGTCCGGTGTATGCATGTCCTGAGATTGTTCTCAATAGACAAATGTATTCAGGAAAATATGCTGATTCCTGGAGTCTTGGTAATGTTCATTCTTTTTTTTCTTTTCACTAATATATATATTGGGTTGTTTCAGACATAAACTAATGAGAAAAGTCTTTCTCTTAAACTGATTAATCGCTTTTTAATCGGTATTACTTACATCTTAATGAGCTATGAATAAAAAAAAAAAAAAAAGAGTTAGGAATATTCATTTTCGACTTGAAACTTTTGATTTAGTCCTATCCTGAAATAAAACATACTTTTACTTATAAGGTCAGATCTTAGAATAGAAACAATGAAAAGATCTGAAATTTTCATAGGAAATTATGCTCATTAACATTTGACTCTATGAAAAGCCTCAAGTCAAAAATGATGATACGGGAGGAAAGATCGCGGCATTGAGTTAAAAAACAAAGTAACTTCATAGTATTAAAGTAGACATTCGAACTTTTGTTTTCAGGGTATTAATGATTCATTACAGTTTACACAGTGCAAATAAATATGATTCACAAGGAAACTTGTTTACATAATCCTTTTATTTTCAAAAAAAGAGATTTTAATGAAACTTGTTGATCTTAATAAACTATATATCTATTATAAAGATAGTTCATATTCATGGTTTGTTTCTAAGAAGAGCGAACATATTTAGTAAAATTATGCGTCAGAGGTCAAAGACATTTTTTTTTCTACAAACTTTTCTAATTGATATTTTTATACAGTTTAAATTTACAAAAAAAATAGGTCATAGACATGGACTATGTTTTTTTTTATGGTAGATACAGTTCATTAAGGTGTACATAATGCACTAAGTCACATCTTATACTTAGGCTAATAGAATAAAAATTTTTTTCATTTAAGTTCTATAGAAACAAAAAATGAGATGTTATTGAATAACAAAAAAATTTTACTTTTTCTAACTATGTAAATATTTCTATATAGGTATCATATTGTATACAATGCTTTTCGGTCGTTATCCTTTCTGTGATCGAACTCTGGTAGGTTTATTTATTAAAATTGGTCGATGTCGTCCTGAAATACCTCGAACAATATCAATAAAAGCACGTTCATTACTTCGTTCTTTAATACGAGTTAAACCTAACGAACGTCTTCTAGCACAAGATATACTTGGACATGTTTGGTTTAGTGGTGATAGAGATACATCAACAATATCAATGAATACATCAATAATAAATGATGAATCATTATTATTTAGTAGCAGCAATAATTATACGAATAACAGTAATGAAACGACAACACAAGAAGATGCTGTCGTGCCAAATTTTGAATGTGAATAGAAAATATGTATAGAATTATTCATTTCTGCAGTCTGTTCTTTCTCTTTTTTCTGTGCTCTTTCTACATAAATATATATATATATATATTTTCTTTTTTTGTTTTCACCAAAGAAAAAAATAAAATAAAAACCAATGTTGTTCATATACATACCTTTCAATGTTTCGTAGAAAGTAAGTGCTTGTTGTGATGAAAAATTCATATTTAATTAATCTGAAATATATTTAAAAAAGAAAGAAAAGATGGATTTCTTAACGAATCGATTCATATGAACGACGATTAAGATAAGGATGGAATGTATACAACAATGCAATAATAACAATAAAAATAACACAACCGGATATTACAATTAGTGATATAAGACGCCATTGTTTCATTAATTTGATTTGTTTCACAGAACATGATGGACATGATGGTTGAGAAGAATATATCAATGATGATGATGTATAAAAACACTAAATTTAATCAAATGAAAATAATTTACAAAAAATAATGGAAATATTTTTACTCTATCAAGAATTAATGTAGCAACTTCTTGAATATCCTTCTTAGTTAATTGGCGAACTTTTGGATCAAGATCATATTGCACAATTTGTTGAATAAGTATATCACGACTGATATTATACCAAGATATCTTAATTAATAAAAAAAGAAAAAGTTTGTCAGTATAGATATTTCGAAGCTAACTAATATGTATGCATTAACTTCATTATACTAATAGAAAATATGTTGAGTGAAAAACCTCTAGTAGACTATAGTTATTTTCCTAGGATAATCAATCGTCAGAGAAACGATTTCTCTTATTTATTTCTATACTTCGAACAAAATTTTTTTCCTTTTTTTGTTGTTGTTGCTCTATGTTTTGTTAGCCTTGTTGCTATTTGCTCGTTGTTGTTTGTTTTCGTATTCTATTTTGCTTAATTTAACATTATGATTATTATTCTAACTGTTGATTTATGTAACCAATAAGCCTCTTGTACATATCTACAGCAAGTCTCAACACACTATTATATATCTCCATATGAGCTACGTTATTTTAACGAGGGAAGTTCTCTGATTGATAAATCGATTTTGAGTCAGACAGGAATCTTTTGTCTTCTCAGGAATATTGAGAAAATGAGTTTTTGAATTTTAACTTAAAATTTTGCATAAAGACAAGACTTAACACATTGGACGCGATGAAATCCTCCGATGAATCCCGTTATATTTCAACAAGAAATTTAATAGAAAAATACTCTCTTTTTCTTAGGCAAGAGTTTACACATGATGTGTCATCTACTTTGCCTTCGCTATTTTTTGAATTAATTATTACGTAGCGTGATATTTCTTGTTAAAATGAATCAAAATAAAAAAAAAAATTTTTGTCTCATGACTCATTTTTCTTAACTATTGTTTCCTGATTTTCTCATCGCAGACTGCCACCAGGTCTTCGAATGACTTGCTACCTCTTAATTTCAACCAATGTTCAACTCCTCCAACAGCATATCAAGTAGTAAACATAGAACAAGACTCTGTCGGAACTTGAAAATCTAAATTACATCTAGGCAAAGTGATTGTCCAAAAGACTAACTTCACTTAGTGAGCTATGACTGTAGTTATCTTCTCTATCGGACTCATCAATCAGCATAGAAATTGCCGTAAAATTTATATGAAAAGCAATGCTTCTTTCTTCGAAGACAAAAGAAAAGAGTCTTTTTTTTTTATACAAACGAGAAAATAGGATCAAAGAGACGACAAAGAAAAGAAGACAAAAGAAGTGGAAATTTCACTTCTTCTATCTCATTCCAACTGCGTAATATGTGGGATGAAAAGAAAAAATAGAGTTGCGAAGAGAAAGAGAACTGTCCATGTTATGTTAAAAATAGAAAAAAAAAAGAATCCAATTGGGCAACATAAAATGAAAAAGGCTAACAAGTGCATTGTTAAAAAGTGAATACACACGAAAAATGAATATATGAGCATTATTCTCTAATAAAATCGAATGTATTAACGAGTTTTGTAGTTATTTCTATCTTAATATATAAATTATGGTAACAGCGTATGTTTTTAACATTGCTCATATAAACTAGTAGATTTGATATTTTTATTTCAGGATAGAAGCAAATCAAAAGATTGAAGACTTTCATAATAAACTATTCTGTCTCTATGCAAAATTTCAAGTTGAAATTCAAAAATAAGTTTTTCTTTTCTTTTTATCACGGCATCTATTTAAAAGGCACCATAAAATTGTTTTATCTTCATAATAATAATCTAAGAGTACGAACACTCTTTTCAGAGTATTCATAGCTTATTTGATTCAGTATAATGCATTTAGTCTTTAATCAAAAGTGATTCATCATTTCAAGGGTTTCCTTCGTAAGTTTTTTTTATTAATGTGCCATTCAGTGTTTTTTTTTGTCCATTACTAAGAAACTGTTGAGAGAATGTCTGATGTCCTCGGTTGCTATGGAAAAGTCTTCAGTGTTCATTGACATTTCTCAATCTTCTTCGTTACTATAGAGAAAGGAAATTGTAAATTCCACACAAAGAAAATAAAAGTTAATTTTCTATTCAACTTACTCTATTATTATTTATTTGACGAAGATTCAATATTACTTCACAATAATCAATCATAGCTGTTGATAAACCATAAGTAAATCCATCTGTAGTTACTTTCCAACAATCCAATGTACCATATTTAGTATCACATGTACGTCTAATAATGATGAAAAATTTTAACATTGTTTAAAAAAGTAACTGTAACAAATATTAACCTAGTGCATGTTATAAACCAAAAAAAAAAAAAATCAATAAGAAAAATTATACATATTTTTTTTTCTTGAGGTTTAACTGTTGAAATTACTTTAGATTATAAGAAGTATTTCAATGTCAGAATCTTTATATTCTTAAGCTTTATAATTTTCAAAGATTTCAATCGAATAACTTAACGATCTTTTATTAAAAAGAAAGAAGAATATTCTCGATTATTTCTTAATGAATTTTACCGTTGTAAAATAATCTCTATTCAATCTATTGCATGCCGGAAGTCATTATCTAACATTAGTAATAGATTGAATTTCTTTATTCTAAATTTTCTAGAATATCTTGTCATAATTATCGCTATGTCTTCATCTATCAATAATTCAATACCAGAATTCTATAGTTTAGAATGAATAAGTAATTTATATAGTTCAACTAGAGATTTTTCATATAAATATAAGCGATACAAAGTTTTAAACCAGTTAAAATATAAAAGGTGTTAATGTAATTTTTCATAATTCATCATTTATATTAATGACATTATTTGTTTTGATTAAATTTCGATTAATATATGAAAGAAAAATAATTCCGATCGTTTCAATGAAAGATGAATATCTAATTTATTTTATACGAAATAGAGCAGCGATGTAAACAGAACAAAAAGTTCTAGTAAAAATGAAGATTTTCTGAAAACGCTTCTCAAGGGATTTAACTGCTGTGATAATAGAAACGATCGCGTATATCTATATATATAATGTTCAATGTGTGTCTGTCTGTTTCTCTGCGCCGGGTTAAAGGTCAAAGATTCTAGAATTTTAAGGCGTTATATAAAAAGTGGGAAGACGATAGGGGATAAGGTTACAAGAGCTACAAGGGATATAAGACTATAAGGTCGAAGACTATATGAACTATAAAAATATGTGTGATATAAGACTATGAGACCGTAGGAGTATCTAACTACCTATATACATAATATTGCGTGTCTGTATATCTGTTGTAGGATGTTAAGTTAAACGTGTAAGGTACTATGTTAAAGAAGAAAATAGCCGTGCAGTATGCACGGGCTCTCGCTAGTATATATATATATATGTTACTACTTCAAATTATAAGAACAAGATGGTGATCAGTTTTTGTCTGTGATACTGAGTATATAATATAAATCCGAATAGTCAATAGAGTTTTCTATCGAATACATTATATATCAAGCTTTCATAGTCGGACTATGTAGGGATATATTTTTTACAATACCATGTGGAAGAGAATAAAATTCTGAAGGAATTGCTGCAATTTTTTACGATCTTCCGTCATAAAACGACAAGCATCACAAATAAAATAACTTTTATCGCTGAAAAATTCTTTTTCTTTTTTATGATGTTTGTAACTTTGTTAGAGAAGATTGTAAGAAAAAATACGGAAACTTCTTATATTGTTCTGAATTTTATGCTCTTCCGAATGTTACTATTAAACAATAAACTTTTACATAGTTCAACTATGAAAATTACTATTGGGATTTGTATCACATACTCAACATCACAGAAAACAAAATTAAAAAAAAAAGAAAGCATTGTTGTTATAATTTTGTGCAGCAGTTTACATATATATATATATATATGTAATTGCATAATGTTATATTTCATAGAGCAAAAGGTAAATAATCATAACTAGTGAATGAGGAAGAATACAACTATAAAAAGGTTTTTAACATACATAAAAATCATTCAAGTTAATGTACAGTATATATTTTTATTTCGATCTTTAATATAAATTAATAAAAATATCTATTTGTTAAATTTTGAAAATTATTTTCTCTTACTTGCATTTTTTTTGAAATAAATCTCGTTCACCATATACAGAATATATAAAATAAATAAATAACCAAAAAATACCACTATAATAATACATCATAAATCTATAATAATAAAACGAAAAGTAATATATAATATCAATTAGATATATTTTGATAGCAGAATAAATCAAATTCAGATCATCAACAAAGTAAATATATATTTATTTTATCATCTAATCAATGTTAGTACTAAGACGTGGTAGTAGAAGGAGAATTTATAAGAAGATCGTTGTGTTGAACAATTACTATAGGATTTGATTTACGACGTGCTTGAATAGATTGTGTAACGCAAATGATTAGTACTAAACTAGCTATAGCAATGCTAATTATAAAAAGTACCACATAATTACGTATATCTGAAGAACATGTCGACATTGTACATGATAATGATGGAAGTTCCCAATTTGATTTAGTTGCATTTAATGTTAAATTTTGACACTAAAAAAGTAAAAACAAGACAAAGAATTAAACTAAAAAATGAAATTTATAATTGATATTTTATCATACGAAATTAAGAAGAATTTGTTTTGTTTCTGTAAATAAACTCATATTTAGTTTAGCATAAAATGATTCATTTAATAAATTATTTTCTAATGATTCATTAATAAATTTGATACTATCATTTAACTTAAAAGAAAACAAAAATTTCTCTTCCGAAAATAAATTTCATTTTTTTTTTAAATTAACAAACTTCTTTTGAATGAGTTCGTTGATATCTATTAACATAAACAGATAGACTACTAAATGAAAAAATTCGTTGAATTAATTCAGATGAACGATAAAGTAAAGCTTGACGCCAACATTCATCATCAATAGTACCATTATATGAGCAATTAGTTCTATGAATAATCATTTTAAGAAACAAAAAAATCAAATTAAAATCAATAAAACCTGCATGATAAATCTTCACAATGATATTTTGATATATGCAAAAAAATGATCAAAATTATAAATAAAGTTTTCATTGATAACTAATGACAAAAAAAAAAAGAATATTTGATTTTTATTCACCAAGGTGAATATATCATCATAGTTGAGTTGAAGAAGGTAAAATATGGATACATATGGATTAAAGTGATGTCGTCATTTTACAACTAATCTATAAATAGGACATTTATATTGAGAGTTTTTTTTTTTTTTTTTTGATCGTTATTAAAGATTTATAAGTAAAATAAATATAAAATATAATTAATTGAAAATAAATTTATTTATTTTAAACGATTATTTAGTTCGCTATAATCAATTCTCTTTTTTTTTTATATACTAAAATATTCTCCGTTTAATATCTTAAATAATAAGAGACACATATTTTATTTGAATTTTTATTCTTCTTAATGTACTTTTAACGAAAATAAAAAACAACATAGCGTTGATAGTTTTATTATGAAAATATTATATATTTCGAATCCGAAATTCTATTGAACTGAATTTTTTATTTTACAGGCAATTATCCTTCGAATAAAAAAAGCCCAAATATCGAAGATAAACAAAAAAAAAATGCATATTCTTTTTTTTTTTGTATTATCTTACAAAATTCGATAAATAAAATATTAAATTTTATTACTTTCTTTTACTATATATCGATAAAATAAACTGATTTTTATTTCAAAAATCTTTTGATCTCTGATCTAAAAACTCAATGTTATTTCTACCTCATTGGTAAAAATTTAATATCAAATGATTTTCATTTGTTTCATTTTTGAATATTCTTACCATGTGATTTCAATCTTTTGTCTTGAAATTTTTTTCATTGATATATCTGTTATAATCAATTATTCTCTGAAAATTTTCATGATGATAATCATTTGAAGAGCGGAGATCTATGTCAAGGTTTTTTCTTTTTCAGATAATAGAAGCATCATTGCGCCTCAAAATCATAGCTGATTAAAGTCTCCTATCTGTGACACAATGTAGAGTTTCATTAGTCAATAAAATGATGAATATTAACGCTTTAAAATATAATGACAAAACCAGAAAAGTGCTAAAAAAAGCATTTTTTTTTTGTAGTTAAAAATATCAAGCAAAAAAAAGTTAAATTTAAACACTTAGAATTCAGAATTTTTAATTAACATATACTTCAATTACGTATAGTGTAAACCATTAGCTCGAATTATATTTATCAAACAATAATCAATAGGAAAGATTTCTCTTTGTATTTTACATCTACGCATAATAAGCATCAGTTTCTATAAAAGTATTTATTCACTCGTAGTTTGCGCGAAAAAAAAACAATAATCATTTTATACCATATTAATAACAAATCCGTTTCAAAATAAAATAACTCGTTTTCTTTTTCACAGAAAATGGATATAGATTCTAAAGTATTTCCCACTGTTTCACAGTAGTCTGTAAAAAAAACATCACACTCATCAAGATTTGATTCTGTCATATTCTTAATGCATCAACAAGATTTAATGGATGTATATTTATAACACAAAATTGTATACTCAATGTGATAACAGTTATCATACGAACAGTATCTTTTTGATAGATTAAATTAATTGCATTTATTCCATGAAAAATGAATGATTATATACGGATATCAATATTGATAGTCAGATTATTTTTATATTGACTAACGTAAATAATGAAGAAGATAAAAATATATATAACAACAAAAATAAGAAACCGATGATCATTTTTTTGTATGATTCATTATCAGAAAAATCATCATCCATAAAAAAATACCCATTTTCTTGTTGTTTTAGTGTATTGCATATGACCTTTTTTTTTTTTTTACATATAGTAAGTTTCGATAGAATTAAAATTGATTTTTCAAGATTAATGCAACAGCACTAAAAATAACTATGTTTCCATAATTGTTATTCCATATAAATAATAACAATAATCTTTATTGTAGTATATTTATTTAATTACGCATCAAAAGTTCGAATAATCTTATTTTTTCAGAAAATCTACTCGGTTTATGCTTCAACTTTGTCTATCGTGACTTGTATGTATTTGTTTTTACAAGCTAATATGATAATGATACTTGAATTGAAGCAGAAAATTATCTTAATAAGAATACAAGATAGTCATGTAAACCAAAATGAGATGATCAGACGAAATATTACCAAAATAAAAAAAAAAGCAAATAGGAAAATTGAACTCTTCTTGATATGTAACACACCTTTGGATTTGAACCATAGTTTATTGTATATTATCTAATATACTTAAAGTACTTGTTAGATCAGTATTTAATGAAATATTTTTGATATAAAGCATCTAAAATAAGGAAACATGTATTCGAATAAAAATATTTTAAAGAAAATTTTACAAGAAAATCTTGATTTTGCCATAGGATTGCATCCTGGTACATTCATTTTTAATCAACGAAATAGGTAAAAGATTCGAAAGCAAAACTGGGATACTAATTCTCAGGATCTTTTAAAATCCAGATTGAAAAATCAAAATCGAAACCGACTGATTCTTAATTCTAGAGGATATTTCCAAATATCTATGGTAAAAATTTCAATTCAATCAAATAAAGATTGTAAGCAACCATTATATCTTATATCCAACTTGAAATTAAGTTTTTGGTAAAAAAAACAAAATAAAAGAATGAGATTCTCTTAAAGTATCACTATATTATTTAAATAAACGAGTTGATGATAACACTAACATAAAGTTTTCATCAAAACAGATATATAATAAATTTCATTGATAACTAATAACAAATCTATGATAATGTTAAGCATTCTGAAAATAAAGAAATCTTATTCATAACCATAAATGAACTACTATTGCATAATCACTAATCAATCTTGATGATAGAAATGTTAGGTTAGTTGATGTACATTCTCATGTTGATAGAATATTACATTGATTTGATAAAACAATGATTAGATTTATTTCAAATCAAAACAAAATCTTAGAAATAATGATAAAAATAATAAGACATAGAATAAATTCTTCAAAAAAAAAAATAGTATAGTTAATAAATTTCTGTTTATTTTTTCTCTCCTTCTCATGAATTAACTTGTAACCTTAGAGTATTGACAAATTATTATGCTTGATTGAATAAATCTCTCAAGGCAAATATTATAATTAAATTTTTTCAATTGACATATTTTTCTTTTTATTGAATAAATCACTAAAATAAAACAAAAAAAAAGGGAAAATAACAATTTTACAAAATATTTTCACTATTCTTAATGATTATATATTATATATCGAACTAATTAATTCTAGAATAATATAGTTACTTTTATCTTATTAATATTAAAGAAACAATATATCGACAAGAGTGATGTAATATAAATGTCAGTAGAATAATAAACGTCATGAATTATTGGTTGTTAATAACATATTAAGAGTATTTGTTTGAAGGTCTCTAATTACATAAATGATATAATTTACTATATAACATAAGCTGATATAAACATAACTATATTGCAAAATATTAAATCTATCGAAATTACGATAAACACCAAAGTTTAGTTGATCGACGCAAAAAAAAATTAATCAATTTTTTATGTGTTTGTTTGTTTGTAGAAAAAAATACACTTGCTATTGGAACACCTTTGAGGCTAAAACGTGTAACTCACATGTGTCTTCTTAGCCTTATTATACTAATACAAAATACGCTAAGAATACTCCGCACCCCATCCCCTCCCAATCCTTCTGTAACCCAATTTTTTTTTATGGTTATTATATAGCCTGAAGTAAAACAACTTGTTTATGAAAAAACAAAGTACAAAATCGTCGATGTTTCTCGGACCTGTACACCTGATTAAGTTGAAACTCTTTTCACATAAATGATAGACTGTTTGGAATGAGTAGGTTTTTTTTGTTAGGGTACTTTCGATATATATTCGAAGAACAAAAAATAAAAAGGTATCGACTAGAGCCTGTCGGTTACGGGATTAACCCGATAGGCTCTAATACATACTATAAACAGTGTCTAGTATCTATAGAAAAATATTTCAGTTCGATCGATTAAAGCTGCTCGGAGAAACGGTGGCGACATTTTTCAAAGTTATTACTTGATCAATTCACGCTTTTTTCTTTATACTGATCATATGATGACAGTGGCTAATCACTACATTATTATCCATCGTCCGTGACATATATTTTTATATGCGAAAAAATGAAGAATCGTACTATTTACAGCAATAAAAAAAATTTATTCGAAACATTCAAATTTCAAGGAAGGCTTCGGAATATTTTCAGTCTTGTTTAAAAATACAATCGTTGGCGTCTGGCCACCTTTGACTTTCCATTGTTATGATGGTCGAAGTCGCAGAACTTCAACTTAAAACTTAAATTCATTATATTTTCCTTGGAAAAAGATAATGTGATTTTTGTAAAAATCAATAAAACTACGTTCTTTTTTATTTACTTTTCTATATATATGAAATATTCATTATGATGTGTATGTTCTTGATTATTGAATAACAAATGTCTGAACATAAATTTGTTACTATTTACTTAATCAATGTCTATTTTAGGTTTTACTTTTTTTTATTTTAATTTTAAATATAATCTCTTAAAAACCTGTTATTTGCATAACTCAATGTCAGAATAAAAAAAGTTCATTTCAAATATTTTATTTTTACAAATTTATAGAGAATAAAAAAAGATAATATAAAATGAGAATTAATTTTGTTTTTCTCTGAATAATTCCTTAACAACCTAACACTAACGTATGATGATTATGTAATTGAAGTTCATTGTTGTTTTTTCCTTTCTTCGTTGTCATCATAAACATAATCACAAAAAGTGTCTCAAGATTGAGCTCGATTTAATTGTCATCTCTGATTGCGAACAAAGATAATCTTTCAATTCATTGACTGTGATTTGTGTCATGTTAAAGGTTTGAATAAACGCAAACGAATGAAAAACAGAAAGGGGAGAGGCAGCCAATTCAAGTTCTGATCCTCTTTTTTCAATATACAATATATACGAGACACTCGGGTATATCGAAAAAGAGGAAGAAATACATGTATGAAATGCCAAAAAAACAGAACATTGAAGAATATGGTGACGAAAGAGGGACAGAGAAAGAGAGAGAAAAGATTTGAGTCAATCAAAACCGCAATGGATGGTGATGGCAGCATTTGCTTATTCGAATCATTTGTTTTTCTTGTCTCTCTTTAAAGAAAGAGGAGAAAGAGAGTGGCAATACACGTGTTTACCTGACAGACTAACATTAAACAGAAAAAAAAACTCCGGTCATTGTTTGCATTCACCGTTCAGGTATACATACGAAAAGGTAAATTAATAATTTATAATTATTATGTTCTTTTCTTTATATAGAGAGAAAATTATTTTTTTGTTTTAAATATTAACGAACTAAATAAGAAAAAAGAAATGCGATCTGTTAACTGTACGTTAAAAAAAAGAAAAAGGGCAACAGCTGTAAATGATGGTTTATAATAGTTTTGTGTCCCTATCGTTTTTTTTATATTTTATGTCTTGATGATTTTGCTTGTCTTTACTTTCAAGGTAAATCAACAATATTCATCATGTATTTGAGAGTTTTTAAGTGTAGGTATAAGTGACCTTTTTTTTTCTTCTCTTTACCTAATAGTAATCAAACACAAGGTTACTTTTTCTTATTTCGTTTAACAATTTAAAAATTCTCATCAGTTTAACTTTTGGTAATAAGTCAAAAACGAAGAATAAAACTGCTGATTTATTCTTCATATATTTGAAGTTCATATTTCATTTTATATGCAATTTTCGTTCAAGTTTGTTCTTCTCTCTTATTTCATTTATAAAAGGTATTTCATTTTTCATTTGCTTATGAACATTTTACTTCTATTAAAGATTATCTTATTTGATAAAATCACTTATAATATTGCCTGAAAATATTGAACATAGTAAAAAGAAAAATGAAGTATGACTTATAATGTTAGTTCAATCCTTTAGAAAAATAAATGACAGTACTATAATTTGTACTTGTATATATTCTTGCGTCATATATGTATTCTTGCATCTTCTTGTTTTATCGTCTATTGTAAAGATGTTTTAGTCATGTTGTTATTTGCAGTTGAAGAACTTGTATGTATATTTCGGATCGAAAGATTACGCAAAGATCGTCTATTACTTATTTACTTGAGAGTATAATCACGTATGAAGAAAAAAGAAAAAAAGAAAACGAGAAAGAAAGCTTAACGCTTGATCGCAAATACCAATAGCACTACAACGAATAATTTTGTATGCGAAACATGAATAGAAAAGAATCATGGTGTATATACATCTGTAGTGCTCAAATATTGAAACTGTCTTAAACTTGTTCTATTAACATTTTATTCATATATACGATTGCGTATATATCAAAATTGAAAAGGATTCAATGAAAATCAAAGACAAATGATTTGTAAATGAATTATATTACAAAACTTTTGAAAAGGAATTTTTTTTATCTTTGTCACTTACAAATCTCATATTTTGTTTAATTTCAAAATTTCTCATATACAATCAGATGTACTTTTTCATATAGAAAATCTAATTTAAATTAAATAAATCATTGAGATTGAAGAGAAAAAAAAATTCTATACAACAATGAGAACGTATCTGTTGAATTTATTATCAATATTTACTAATACTTTCGACTTTTTTTCTTGTGTATTCTATTACAGGTATTATCATACCAAATATTAAAAAATACACGTGATTTACATTCAATCAACATACTTCTTAATGTCGACTAATCCTTCTCAACGATATAGTTCACCTGATACGGCTATTTTTGCAATGTCAAATGTTAATGATGATGACGTACAACAATTTCAACAGATTATACGAGATCGACGAGGTACGGTCGTTTCTTTTTTCTTTCTTTTTTTTTTTTTTTTTTTTTTTTTCATTTGTTTCTTTATTAATTCAATTAAATCAATAAGATTTTGTTTTTATACCTACTTTTCTCGTTTGTACTGATGTAATAATTGTTCTCTGGTGACCTTGGATGGCAGAAGGCCAATTGCTTTGTCATCCCATTGACTTATAGTTTTTCTTGTTCATTGGTTTACTGCCTATATATTCTATGTCCTTGCGATGTTTTCCTTTAAGTGTCGTATATAAGATGATGTTATACTAATACTATCGAGTCGATAAGCATAAAAAAAAGAAGATGTTCTCGTAACGTACATAGTTCAGGAAAGCGAAAAAGGGAGAATAGAGCGATGATAGGAATAAGGTTCGATGTTGTTGGAGTATATGGCGAGACAGTCAGAAGCATAAATATTGCATAGAACATACAAGAGTATGCAAGCATATTTCTAACTTTTTCTGAAACATGTATACAGAAAGAAAAACAGAAGAAGAACAGAGAGAAAGAAGGAAAAAAAGAAGCAACATCTTTGAGGCAATACAGATAGGCAACAGTAAGAATCGTGCCACCATCCAATCTTCGTCACTGCTGTTGTTATTATTATTATTATCATCATCATCATCATCATCGTCGTCGTCGTTGTCTTCGACCTCTTTTTCTATGTTTGAGAGAGAAAAAAAGTGGGCGGGCAATCAACATATTATTGATTAGAACTCATCGATCACTTGACCATTGTTACCAATCTTCACTCAATATCAGACAAGAAAATATTTAGTCAACAATGTCATCAATAGATACAGATGAACCATTTAATCCTATTGATGATGATCCAATATGTAAGTTTCATACAACCATTGATAATTGATTTTCATCTGGAATAATATGATGATCATGCAACAAGAATAAGCATTGTTTTATATAAATATATATATATATATTCAATGAAATGTGATCGAATATCTTTAGTCTTTATTGACTAATACATATGTCTTATTTATTTGGTTCAATAGATTTATATTATTTTGCCAATGGCAAAAAATTACAAATAAAAAACAAAATATATACTTGAGAATGAGTCTATAATTAAGTAAATGTATCACTAAAAGAAGGCAAAAAAAATCATAATTTATCTCTTAATATTAAGTGTATATTTTTTTTATGCTTCATTTTTCTTTTCTTTCGAATGGATATTATAAAAAATTAGTCACTACTGATGTATATGATATATGAGTACAGTAAGCAAGTTAGTATCTTGTCCCCTACTGTCATCATCGTGGGAGAGAAAAAAAACGGAAGAGTGACAAGCTATTCGTCTTATCTATCATTTTTTTCTCTTTTTATATGTATGCATTTCAAAAAATAAATTAACACCCATATATATGTATTTACCAAATCATGACGATGATAGTGATACGATTGATCGATTTGCTAATGTCCATTACAAAAAATATATTGCAGTAATCGTCGTTAAAAGAGCGAGAGAAAAAAATCATCATTATTCATCCATTGATCTGGCCATTTGCCAAAGACGAAGAAAAAATTTCTTGAGGTTCTTTTTTTCTCGTTTCAAAATCACTTTTTGACATTTTCATTCGACGGTGTGAGCTTCATCTATTTCGTTGTTATTATCAGTAGTCGACGAATTGAAGTTAGTAATTTTGACATAATGTCTCATGATGTGTTCATACATTCGTATATTTCTATATAGACAGTTTTTACGTAAAAATTTTTCATCGCTCATCCAAATGCACATATTAAATCATGGTCGCATCGTTTTTATCTATATGTGAACATAAGAACTGTTGAGCTGTGTCAAATTAAACGAAATCATTCGTTCATTTCTTTCTTTTACCTATCACATTAAACTCACATTAAATATTATATACACACACATATATATTCATTTTATCAAGTAACGCGTTTGTACAATAATAGCAGATTATATTTATTTCTTTTGGTGAAAATCAAAATCTTGGTATAAACATCCAAATATCAAAATTTTCATTTTTTTTTCTACTAAAACAAAAAAGAAAAGAAAAAAAAAACGAACACTTAAGTATATGTAAATGGTGTCCACTCGAGGTTCTTTTGTAGACGAACGTGAAGATATTCAAAAGAAAGCATTTACTAAATGGATTAATAATCAATTAGCTAATGTAAGTAGATTAATAACATTTAAATGATATTTTAATGGATTATTTCTAGTCAAATTCAACACCACCTGTTACTAATTTGTTTCAAGATTTACGTGATGGTATTGTTCTACTTCGATTACTCGAAGTACTCACTGGAAATGAATATGTATGTTATGAGAAGAAAAAACAAAAGAAGAAGACAATAAAAAAAAAAATTATTATTTATTAATTTTTTTTTCTATAGAAAAGAGAAATTGGTAAAATGCGTGTACATCATATTGGTAATGTGAATAAAGTAATAGCTGTACTTGGAGAATATGGAGTAAGTCAATATGATTGACATTGAATTTAAAAAATTTTAATTTCTTATTTAATATAGATAAAACTTCTTAGCATATCATCAAATGATATTGTTGATGGAAATCCAAAACTAACACTTGCACTTATATGGTCAATAATTCAATATTGGCAAGGAAAAGATGTATTAAAATCAGTTGTACCAAATCCACAACAAGCAAATGTTGAAAAATTTCTTCTTTCTTGGTGTCAACAAACAACAAAAGGGTTTGACAAAAAAAAAGAAAAGAAAAATATATTTTTTCTAATTAAAAATAATCTTGTTTTTTGATTTTTTTCATTTAGATATAAAGGTGTAGCAATTAAAGATTTTACAAGTAGTTGGCAAGATGGTCTTGCTTTTAATGCTCTTATTCATAAATTTCGTCCTGATTTATTTGATTATGAAGATATATTACAACATACAGCAGCTAGAAATCTCGAACATGCATTTAGTATGGCTAAAACTATCTTCAAAATTGATCGATATCTTGATGTTGAAGGTTCGTATTATATTTTTTTTTGTATTCACAAATCAACTAAATAGATTCGATTAAAAAACAAAAAAAAAAAAAAATCACATAAACAAATTTTCAAATTTATTTATATAATTATTTTCTGAAAAGCAATTACAAGTAATCTTTCTTGCCAGATGATAAATAAGACAAAGAAAAGAACCGCAAGAGTTATAAGTATAAATAAAGGTCCTTATCAATATATTCGACATACAAAAGAGAGAATAACGAAGACAAAAAAACAATATAAGAACAGATATTTGAATGATGTAACTAATGACAAACATATGACACGACGAAAATATGAATATTATCATTCATATAGAAATAATAAGAAATAGAAATCTGAATTAAACTAGTTCAATATTAACCCTTTACCCACCCCAGCGGGTCATATATATGACCCATTTGTAGAACGATCACAGAAAATAAAGGAAGCATGGGACTGAAAAGTTTCCAAGACATTATTTGTAGAGAACTTCACAAGCTATAGATTGGTAAAAAAAATATTTTGTTTCATTGCTCTGCCTTCGAGATATATGACTTACAAAATCAATAATTTTGAAAAAAATGCAAAAATTCGAAATTTTTTAAACAAAATGTTCTCTACTTGCAATCGATAGAAGTCCTTTGAAATTTCTGAGTGATATTAATCGATGAAGAAGTCCACTGCTGAATTAGATGTGCCTCGAAAGCTTCATGATAACTCCGCGAATTATACATACTAAGGAACACAATTGACCATGTAGTCACTGTTAAACAGATGGAGGGTAATCAAGAACAAAGTTAATATATGGGTTACAGACTTCAACTCATGAGAAGTTAAAATAGTATTTATGATGGATTAAATTCCTCCAGACGTTACAAAATGGTTCAGAGTAAAATAGGCTTAAATTTGACAATAGACATCAAAAAGCATACATTCTTTGATGGTAATTTTTATCGGTTCACTCGTTGCGTTTTTCCTATCACTTCAACAGTACGAGATAGATGCTACTTTTGTCCAGCCAATAATGTGGTCAAAGGAAAAAAAAAATTAACTCTTACGATGCCATTCAATTCTCATTTTCCACCACATGATTTTTATATCAATCAAATCGCCCTACTCCAGGAACAGGACATTCGGTGGATTAGGCCGCACCATAGGCATATTCAATAAACTAATACTCTATTTATAAAGTTATTTTTTCAGTGGCTCTTCTGGAAGCGCTATGGAGGGTAAAGGGTTAATAGAGATATTTTTATTTTGAAAATAAATCTTCTTTTCAATATACCTCAAATCGATAGGTTCGTGTAGGTACATCTATAGCAGTAATATCGGCTAATGAACTGAATTGAGCATTTGTATGATCTTTAAGAAAAGCCATAATAGAAAATATTCCATCTGGATGAACTAATATTTCAAGTTCATTTGTTGATGTCATTTGTACATGTTGTACAAAACGTGGTAAACATTCAGCAACATAATGACCAAAATCAACTAAAGTTTTACGTTGTTCGGCATTGACACGTATTAGACTTGCTAAAATAAAATAAATAGATCATGATAATAAATTGAAAATTTTCTTTTTTACGAAAAAAAAACAAAAAAATCTTACCAGCAGGGGCATTTGGTGTTGATTCTGTTGTTGCTTGAGTTCGATAAAGGAATACTAAACTTGCAGGTATATTTCGATGTGCAGCCGCAGATACAAATCCTAAATTATTCAAAACACAAAAAACAACAATATCGTCTTATTTTCTTCATTAAATTTTCTCTTATGAGAGAACGTTCTCAACTTGAAAATCGCTTTTGAATCCAAACTCTGTACATAATCAGGTGTTTAAAACCCCAAAAGGGTGAGAATCTTTGGATATCTTCTACAGAGTTCTAGACGCTTTACTAAAATTTTTGTTTAAAAGAATATTTTCTTCATGAGATATTGAATTTCAAAAAATTCGAATCTTTTGTGAAATATAAATCTCATTAAGGGAACATTCTTTTGAGCTAAAATGGCTTTTAACTTTGTAGAGATGGTCTAGGATTCGTTATCTTTTTTAGGAGGTTTTTAATACTTCATTCGAGTCCATCTTATGTATAGAGTTCGAAATCAAAAGCGATTTTCAAATTGTGAATGTTCCCTCATTAGTGTGTTTTTTTACCTTTGCTCGTTGCTAAAATTGGTCGAGCAAAATGTCGTATTAATGAACTAGCCATCTGAAATAATATATATATGAATATCTAACTTTTCTTTTTTTTTTCATCTAACAAGAAACATCTGACATATTTATTCTTTTTTTAAAAAAACATTTTTTACAAGAATCAAAGATTAACAAGATAGTCTTGAGGATAATGTTGAAAAAGCATGACAGCTTGATTATACATATCCATATCTAAATAAAATATTCTTTTAAAATAAGAAAATTTTGTGTTTTTTGTTTCTACCAAAATTAGCTGTTTGTTCAGGTTCAAATGTAATAATAGTATCACAAACAATTTGATTTCGATTATCAACGTTTCCAAGTACTTCAATAATACTACCAGCATTTACATCAACCTTAATACAAAAACCAATGAATTATTATAAAACAAAACATGAAAAACAATTCTACATACACGTTCTGATAAACGTACAACAATATGTTGTTTATCACTTGTTTCTAAATCGATTACATTGCCTGATGGATGAAGCTAAATATTTTATTGTTAAAAAAAAACAAATTTATATATAATAAATAATAGATTTTACCTTGGTAACAGTTCCGATAATACTAACTGGTTTTTCATTGAATTGTTGAAGCATTGAGCCATTAATACGATAATGATGCGACATATCTGAAATCAGAAAAAGAAAAGATAAACAAACAAACTCTAATTGATTTTATTTTCAGATATTTGATTATAAGATGAACTATCATAAAGAGGCCATTGATGTTTTAAAACAAAATTAACATCATTTATATTGATAGTAGTTGATGATGATGATGATGATGTTCCTATTCGTGTTTGTGCAACAGAAGATGATTTTGAAACAAGTTCTTGAGCAAATAATGATGCGAAATTAATAAGTAATTTTTCAGTATCAGACTGAAGTTTTGGTTGTTGTGTGTTTGATGATGGATATCGGCCTGATTGGAGAAGAATCCGAGTAAAAAGAGTTGATGGAATAAGATTTTCTGAATCGTTTGTTGTCATCTTTGTTTGATAAATGAATGAAGATAATATAAAGCGAACAATTACATTTTGTTTATAAATAAAAATTTGTCGCTATTAGCTATGAAGATTTTGTACGAAGGCATAAAAGTTCTTTTGATTGATTGGAAATATAGCCAATCAGAAGATGATAAAGAAAGAAAGAACGGTTATCCATTATTTAGTGATATCCATAGGACAGTCTTTATAGATTGAACTAAATTTTTTTTGTCGAACTAAACATATTTTTAATTGAGAAAAATAAGCCTTCGGGATAATACTGCTGTATTATCTTATTGTAAAATTTTATTGATATTCAATTGATCATCTCTAACATTTTCAAATCATGCTATTAATATCATTCATGAAAGTCTTATGTCTATTTAAATCTAGATAATAGTTACATTGTTACAAATTTAATTTAAAACCAAGTGCTTTTCTAATAGAGTTTTTACACTATTCATTACAATTATGAATTAATGACATAGAACAAATTATTCAATGTATATTTTAAAAGAGAAATATATAAATAAATTGTTAATTTTATTCTTCTAGATATTTAATAAAAAAATAAATATGTCATTGTTACAACAACTAACAAAAAAGTAAGTTTAATATTCTCTTTTATCTATCTACTCAATCATTCATGCATATGTAAGACATTCCATATTTCATTTTGACGTAATGAAACATTCTCATTTCTTATTGACTCCGCCTTCTTTTTCTTCTTCTTTTTTTTTTGCTTCTCTCTTTTTCTTCGATTCGTTCATTCATCTATTTTTATTATGCCAGACCGGAAGACACGCCTTTGTTTGAGGCAATGGTGTACTTAATTATTTTTCTTTCTTTTGCTTCATTTCCTCAATCCCTCGAGCAATCTTTTCCTCGTCAATATTCTATGTTGGATTGAACGATTGGAATAAGATCTAGATGCAATAAAATCCATAAGACAACTGCGAAGATCCCTGTAATATTAGTAGTAAGTAATTGCCTACTAATTTATGATATAGACGATAGTTAACAGGAAGTATTAAAATTTGAATATGATCCGCAACGACAAACTAATCAAGGATTCTCTTTTTCTTTATGGAATGAATTGAAGATAGCACGCGTCATTCATGATGTGAAAAGGAAATTCGGTTGTTCAAGTGGTGAAATGCCAATGGGTGAATAAAAAGAAAATGAGAGAAGGGAAGAAAGAATTAAAAGAAAAAATTTTGCATACGTCTATTTTCCACTTGTGATAAAAAAGAGTATGAAAACGGAAAAAAAAGAAGAAATCTATCGAAGTATTGGTAGTTTCATTTTAATGATGACAAATAATAAAAATCCAAATAAACGAACATTTCATGATGAGTAAGTTTCATATTAGATTCCTATACAATTTTTCTGAAATTCAATTATATTTATAAAACTATTTAATAGTTAGTTATATATATATAATTAGGAATTAACTTGTTGTCAGTTCTTCAGGAGATTGACGTTTTCATACATAATTAATCTGATTATATCTTTTTTTTTCTTTGAATAAATCTTTCATTAAGACCTTAATGAAATGTATTAATATAAATGCAAAATTTCTTTTTCGTTATGATGCAATTGTATAATATATCATTTACATTAATCTTGAACATGCGTCATTTCTTATCTATGTATAGATTGTTTTTTTCTCTTGCCTATTAAAAAATATAATTTAGATTGATTGTCAATTGCAATAACTCTGAACATGAATAAACACTTCTGCTATAATAGAAGTGTTGTCTTATAATTCTAAACGATAATTAAAATAATATTTTATGTAACAACCAGCGTTACTCCACAGATCGAATAGATCCTCTCAGACTTTGTAGTTCTTGTATTGTGCCTGTATAGGTCTTGATGGAATGGCCTAAGTTCTCCTAGTTTTCACAGCACATCTGCGATATTTTCAACTTGTTTTTGGAAAACTGTCTGGAGTAAATTTTAGAAGATAGTTTTTCTCATGAGGAAAGTTCTCAAATTGTTCAATCGCTTTTGAGTCGAGACTATCTGTATTACGCAAATTTAAATGAGCTATGGATATTCTGAGAAGAGCTCTTGTCCTTGAGGATTATCTCTATGCAATATTTGAAGTCGACATTTGAAAATTAGTTTTTTCTATCTTCCTGAAGAGATGCTACGACATTTATTTAAAAATATCTCCGACGCAATAAGATAAGGACAAGAAATCTTTTGAGAATATTCATATCTCATTTAGGTCTACATAACGCATATAGTCTCAACTTGAACGCGACTGAATCGTTAGAGCACTTTCCTTGTTAGTCACTTTCACTTTTGAAAACTATCAAAATAAAACACTGCTATCAATGTATTCAATTGTTTTTTTCTTTATTTCTGTTAGATCTAAATGAAAATTTTTCAAAGAACGCCTTTGAAAGCATTAATCTAATGTCTTGTTCGCATCTCTTATATTTCACACAAATCATAGAAATAGATACTGAATAGATGCATCCATCCATAACCTTCTCCGTCCTCGGACACACTATCTCAATGATAATGTATCTATCTATCTAGAAGAAGAAAACAAATGATAAGAGTCCTATAATAAGATTATTTTTTTCTTTCTTATTCTATGTTGATTCCATCTTGAAACGAAATCATAATATCAAATTTTTAACAAATCTGTTATTTTATTTTACAACCAATGTTTTATTCAGAATTTCTCTTCCGAAATGATAATTTAAAGTTTCTGCTGCCTCCGACGCTAAATAAAACACTGTTTATATTTCTTATTTTCTAAGTGTTGATTGTTCCCAAATATGTATTTTACAAATGTGTTAATCATCTATCACATAGATATTTATATAGATTCGTTTTTTTCGCTAAAAAAAATATATAATTTTAAAATAAATCTGATTATCTTTTTTTTTTTAATCGGAAAGATATTTAAAGCTGATTAAATTCAAGAGTCGATTGACATGTATCAATAAATGCATATGTTTATCATTTAAACAAGTAGTAAAGCGTGTCATATTAATCTCTTAAGATATCACATATTTAACTCTTGACATATCTCATTAAAAATAATCATGATTACATTCCTGTTTTTTTTATGCAATTAATTTTCCCTAAATACAATGACTGACAAAAGAAAGATATATATATATATATTCATTTTTGTTTCTCTTTATGAGAACTTTATCCTCGTCGATTATCATTTGTCAATAGAAGAACGTCTTTGATCTTTTTCGAATGAGAGAAAAAGCTGTTGCTGTTTGAGATTTGTTGATTTTTTTTTTTTTTTTCAAAAAGTGTTCCGACCGTTTTTTTCGTTCGTTCGTTGATCATTTCCTAACATATAGAACATCAGAGAAAAGTGAATTCGCACATACAAGTCAATTACTACTGTCCATTAATTTTCTTTGAATAAAAACAAAAAGAAGCCAGTTTCATAATGTTGTAAGTAAATTGATTGTTCTGTATATTTTTTGTCCGAGTACTCTTACTAAGAGTCAATTCATACATCTAAACGAGATATATATATATATATTATTTTAATTAGATTCAATATGACATCATCGAAAATAAATGATTCAGATTTACGTAAACAATTTTTACAATATCTTAATCAACCTGAATTATGTGAACAATTTTATATTTATATGAAATCTGAACATTTAGCATATGTATTAGAATTTTATTTAGCATGTGATGGTTTAAGAAATTTACTTGATGATACATCAAAACAAGGTGCTATTATTGAACTTATATATAAACATTATTTATCAAATGGAAAATATTTATCATCATCATCAAAAACAAAATTTTCTTTATCAGATGATTTAATATTATCAATAAAACAACGTTTAATTAAACATGAATATAATTTAAAATTTTATGATCAAGCACAAGAATATGTTTTAAAATATATGTTACAAATGTGTTATCCGAAATTTCTTATTGAACAACAACAAAAAGAAGAGAATGAATTAAAAAAACATCAATTATTAAATACACCTAAATTTAGTCCTATGCATAAACGATCAATGACATCAAGAAAAAAAGATGTTTTCGAACAATTAAAACAAAAAAACAATCAACGAATTCTAAAGTAACATTACACATGAGGAAAAAAAAAAATTCTTGTATCTTTCGAAATGACATCTTGTCAACAAGGTGGAACATTAGCTTTAATGTTACCATGCATTCCTTGTGGAATACGCGCTTGATAGACCGCAAGAATTAACGATAAAAGTTCTCATATTGATCATTTTCCTTTTTTTTGTTTTGTAGTACTTCTGCTCCTATTAAAACGTCATCTTCTATTCGTCAACATCCAGTTGAACCGAGGTAAATATGTAATTTCTTTTTCTTTTTTTTTCAAGACAAGGTGTCATCTGTATTCCATATGTTCACGTGGCCAATTCGCGTTAAGTCTAAGAGATTTAAGATTATTCATCATCAAACAAGTGTATGCATTTCGTCACGCTTTCGCTTGAATAGCTGATTGAAGAGTAAGAGAACAACCTGTAGATTAGCCCCGATGGATGGTTAAGCGTCGACCGTTGGTTCGTTTTTTTTCTTTTTCTTTTTTCTCTTGTCTTCTGCCGTTACCGCCGCCATCACGGCTTGTCTGAACTTCAAAGCATGCGGTTTACTTTGATCGTTCTAACTTCTAACGTGGTCGGTCTTTTTCATCTTGTCAACATGAATCACATTCAATTAGATTACACTATTGTGCCGACGCCGCGCTTGTTAGAAAGCAGACTATCAAAAAAAAAAAAAAAGAGAGAGAGAGAGAGAGAAGAGAAATATAAAGAAAGAGAGAAATACAGAGACATACATATCTGATATTTTAAGATTAACTGTGCAGTTGTTTTTAACACAATGACACTATTAATAATGCGAAATCCTTATTCATTGTAAGTTTTAAATAAGCAGAAGAAAGAAAAAAACTATCTACATATACTTTTTGTAATACAAATGAAGAAATTGAATATTATTTTAGTTCATTAGAAGCATCAACATTAATAGCTGATCATGAAGCTGGATTAAATATTTCAAAACAACCAGTAAGTTAATCTTTATTTTAACAAAAATAAAATAAACTTTTTCGTTTTTCATTTTGTTTTAAAGCGAACAACAAAATTAACTAAACAACAAAAAGATCAATATAGTCTTGCACAACGTGATCCAGCTGCATTTTTTGAAGAAATTAAAAAACGTTTATTAGCTTATCAAGCTGAAAATTCAAGTGTAGCTAAACTTCGTGGTCTTTCACAATCATTTAATGTACAAAATAAAGTTTCATTTATTGATCATCGAACAGTTGATGATGATTCATTAGCTGTTCTTGATTCACAAATAGCTAAAACAATAGATGATGCTGATAATTATTTATTTGAAATACCATCAACTAAAAATACTCAACGATATCGATCATCATCAATAATAAAACATCAAGAAAATAAAGATTTTTCAATTTTAAGAAATAGTTTTACACGATCAGATTCAGGAGTTGGAACAGATACATCAGAAAAGTATGTTTAATAAAAATTAATAAATCAAAAAGAATAAAAAGATTCTTTTTTTTTCTTTTTCATTGAAGAAATTATGAAATATTTCGTCATCAAAATGGACAACGTTTAACATCAATTGATGTTATTTGGTATCCATCACTTGACAGTCATAATGCTCTTTTATCAACTATCCCACGAATTCAGGATCATATGACATTTAAAGAATTTCGACAATTATTTAAAAAACAACCTATATATAGGTATGAATAAATTTATTATTATTATTCATTGTTTTAAATTATTTATCTGTTATAGATATTTCTTTAAAACTACATGTACACCAGATATAAATAAAGAGCAGTATGTATTTCGTGAATTAACGATGGACGATGAACTAGTGCCATTTTATGATGGCAAAATTTTTGTACAATTAGATCGAACTTCTTAAGAATGTCCTTTTTTTTGTTTTCGTGTTTTGTCAGATTAATTATTATTAATATTATTTTTTTTTCTTCCAATATATCGAAGAATCGGTGTTTTTTGTTGTTGTCGTTTGTTTATTATTATTATCAATAATGTCGGTTTGTTTTTTTTTTTTTGTTTATGTCTTTGAAAGAAAGAAAACGAGTTTGATTATGTATATTAAGAGAAATTGTATACAGCAGTGAGCATAATCAATCAAATTATTACGTCTTTTTATATAATGATTATTGGTATTGAAAATTCATAATTACAATGAATAAGTTGAGTTACTGCGATAAATTATTCATCATTGATTCTAGTCATAAGTAACCTTCGTTTATGTAACAGTTGAATAATCAGTAAAAAAAAATGTTCAGCTAAATCATCAGCAATAGCAAAGGTTTCAGAAGTATTCTATAAGATTTAAATCAATTTTTATTACTTATTGCAGAGAGAAATTTTTCTAAGTAAAAATCTTCCTCGATTATGAATGTAGTTCGATTTTTTGAATGATTTTTGATTTTCTGAAGAACACGCTGATATATAAGCTCGTGCAATGAATGACCAAAAACATAAGGGCACTGGTAATATTTTTTCTATACTATTAATCTAGCCAATTTTTTTGTGTACTCAAAAAGTGAGCACACTCTAGAATCGGTCAGTATGGCCGGCCGGCCGTATACACGATAACTTTCGAAAGGAGAGTCCGATCACGATGAAATTTTTTACACAGTTCAGTCTTAACAATGTCTCGCTCGAGTTCGAAGATGAGCAGGACCTGTCAAGAAATGGCTGAGTTATCGAAAAAATTGTCATTATTGAGAAGACCATCCCTGAAGGGGGGTACAGGGATTTTTTCAAAAAACAAATTTTTTTCTCCGAATTATTCGCAATATATATAAATCGACTCAGTTTTTAACGCTGATTCCGAATCTGATATTAGTTTTGAACCAAATCGTAGCTTTCTAACAAAACATCC